CAAAATATTTTGACTAAAAGCAAGTTCTTTTTATATAAAGAAAGTGGTTGCTGTAGGTTTTATACTTAACAAAATATTTGAATTTATTGTTCTAAGTTATAGCTATTTTTAACGTCTCCACAACCTGAAAATTATCGAGAAAATTTTATTTTTCTTAACAGACACTTAGTTCTTCTTATAATTCTTTGAAGTACTTAATATGCCTAATGCTGCTGATTATTAATTTTAAGTTTTCGTAAATGCTTTCTCGCCGGTATGGGAGAAATAATCAGACATTCACATACTTAGGCAAGTTGCTTGCAGGACCCGCAATACTGTAGTGTTGCAACTGCAATGCTTCTAAGTTTAGTTTGAGACTGTTTTTTCGTCAGCCGAAATTGTTATTTACCTTTTAAATTAAGACGCGCACCTATTTGACTGAGTTTTTAGAAAATCGCGTCCAAAATTGGCCACAATCCTTAGCTGTATCTTTCGGTTGGATACGCGTGCTGCAAATTAAGTTGAACGATATTTTTAGGACTGTGTCTGTTTCCGCGGACTAGCTTCAACATTCACTCTTACCCTCCTGCCCGTTACTGCAAAATCATTTGTAGTACGACACGTATAACCGTACCCTGTCAAAATATCACCGAATGGGAAGACCAAAATATTCCGTGGGGAGGGTCAAATTTTGACTGTCACTGGAATTATCGCGTCAGTTTATTGGCAGATATCAGCACGTTTCATGGGCACTATAAGAAAGCCATAGAACTGGTGGTCTGTGTCACCTTAACATGCGCTTCTTCCTCTACCGAAATCTGCTTTTCCTTTTTAACTATGTTGGGCCAAAAAGGTGGTGCATTGCATTGTGCATCACTTAATCTCTGGCTGAATGACCTTAGGAAACTGGGCTGGACAGAAAGTCCTACTGCAGACAGTAGCAAAGAGACGAGTTCCTTGGAGAAGAGTTGAATAAAAGACGCGATCGCTGGAGCATATGGGTTACTGGGCTGGTGTTTTGGATTCTCGCTTGAACGCATCATCATCATCATCTGCGACAGATGCTGAGGGCGCCAGGGGTGCAGCACTGAGAGAACGCACTTGCCTTACTGCCCCATGCCTAATTCAATTAGTAGACCTCGTGCTCATCGCTGGTGGTCGTAAAGGCTGCGATGATTGTCGTTAGTCCGCATCAAAGTAGTGAATTGTTAGAAGTTCATCATGCTTCTCGATTCTTGGCGTGGTGTTTATGCGGCAGTATGATCTGATGTCAGTATAAACTTTGACCGCCCACGTTCTCCTCGCGTGACTAATTACGCTGCCTAGGCGGTCTCAGCACAGAATATGGAGTCGCGGCGGTCATTGCACCTACTAAGCAACTGCGAACCGGGAAGTCAAGAGTCAAGCAGCTCATGGTTCACGCGGTTGTCCGCCCTGGCGAGAATTTCGGACTCGTCCAACCTACAGGTGTGGCCGGATCCTGTCGCATCAGCCGCTACCTGAGGATTAGCA